TTCTGTATCTATACTATAGCCTATACATTAGGAGGTAGGAAGTCTTCATTTAGTTTTCTTGAATTTCAGCATGAGGAGATTCAAATATGTATTTCCCACCTCCAAGAGAGGGCAATAACCATCAGGTTATAAACTGATCTGGGTAGGAGGGGAGAAGGAAAATCTCTGCTTCTCCTATTCAGAATCGCCTACTCTCCTGGAGGTAGGAGATGTGGTCTTAAACCTTTTGTCTAGGTCAGCCCTTCCCCCTTATAGAGGCTCATCACTTAATTCTCAATCAGTATAAATATGCAAACTAGTTTTTTTTCAAAGAAGCACTCTGTAAACTGGAGACAGCAATATACATCTATTGTTTACATTACTTCCTTGGAAATATTCAAAAGCATTATATGAAGTAACATTTTTAATAAGTTTTAAGTCAGAAGAACTAGTCAAATGTTTTGGGAATACAAGTACCCTGGTAGTATTTTCCTAAATATGAAAGAAGTGAGGTTTTTCTACTCTGACAAAAATCTTCTAGTAATAGTTTTGAAATTATTGGAAAGATTTTAATCCAAGACAAACACTAGAAAGGGGCTCAGGAAGAGAGAGAGAGAATTTGCCAGAAATATAACATTTATCTCTATTCTGTCCTCTTTCATTTGTATAGACCTGGGAGCTAACCCTACCTATTTTTCTTTTTGAGGAACATAAATTGTTGGATGACTTTATTCTTTGAATTAAAATTTTTCTGGGAGACTTTGTGAGATGGGATATCTTTAATAAGCCTTGAATGAGGAAAGAGCAGATAATGGGATAGCACAGCTGGAAGACTGTTGCTAGACGTGTCCTCATGAAATTTTATTCATATTCTGATTGGCTGTTCTGTTTGACTAGGCTTTAGAAGTCTTTGTGTTCCCCTGCTTAAGAGCATTTTATTTTGTTCTCATGAATGTTTGGGGGCATGTCTGTCCATTGTAATAGTATACACATTCCTATGAGAACAAGTTTATTTATATCTAAACAAGAATATTTGCTCCTTTGTTGTTTGTTATCAGTCATTTCCTACAACTACATATGCGAATATTTCAAGGAAGATGACGCTTCCAAATGACTTAGAAGATATGTTCTAAATGACAAATAGTGAATATTTGAATTTAACAAACCCTGTACAGGCCATAAATTGAGAATTTTGTCCAAACTATTCAGCAAGTACCTATGAATGACTATCTTTGCTCAGCTATTGGGATAGCTAGTGAAATTAGTTTGAAATAGAATAAAGAGCTATGTTGGTCAGATGGCCAGTTTTACAATAAATTAGATGATTACAATTAGATCATAGTTATAAATTTGGAAAATATTAGAAAGTATCAAAGTATAGACTTATATATCTACAGATGTCTTTTTCAGGTTCAGTCTAAGTCATACTCAGGTCAATAGAAATGTTCCCACTGGGCTCCCATCTCAGTGAAGTCACTAGAGATGACTGTATCTAACCCTATGTAAACAGCAAACTGCCTAAACTTTAAGCATGTGCTTTAGTTCCTTTACATTTAATACCACTTAAGATCAAAGTGACATGTAAACTTAAATGCTGGTTTGAAAAGGGGTTGATAGACCGGTAAGTATAAGCTTCAGAACACTGTTGAATACAAGGCTCTTCAAAAAGCCAGGGGCCAGGATAATGGCCCACTCAATTCTGAGACAGAACCGTGTTTGGAATAGAACCATGGCTAGTAGCTTGCAAGTTGTCAGACTAAACTGAGGAGCACACGACTGTTACAAAGGCTGAGAGAACTTGTTTGGGACAAAGTAACAGGAAGTAGGTTGGCCTCTGTGGCAAGCTCTGGAGCGGAAGGGCTTCCAAGCAGATAGCCTGTTAAAGGACTGTGGAAAACCTAGGAACAGGGAGCTCTGGCAAGGAAGCTTCTGGGTCAGGGAAGGTTAGCTGGACTTGAACTGTTTTATGTTGGGATCAGCTGAAGATTATTAGGTTGCAGCCAATCAATGGTGCCCTAAAGAAAGGGTCTGGAGAGGTTTTGGAGATGCTATGAATGCACCCTGGGCTGGGGAAGACAGTCTAGAGGGACCCTACATTACAAATATTTTTACTTGGAGATGTGGTTTTTTAAAACTAATTTTGATTTTATTAATAATATTAATGAAATGTTTTTATTAATATATACCAGAGGTGTCAAAGATAAGGTCTGCAGGCTGGATCTGATCCACAAAGCTCTTTCATCCAGCCCATGGGGCTCCCAGAGGCCTGGGAATTAAAAGGTGGGGCAGGTAGCAGCAGGGTCCACTGCTAAATTCACAGCCTAGAAGCCCTGATGTAGTTGTGTGTTGGTAGGAGCAGGGTGCAAGCAATGGCTGTGTTAATCCCGGTGTTCCCACGCCATTGCCAGATTCGAAATCCTGTCCAGGAGGAGCTCCAACATCCAGATCCAGCCCAGGAGCCCAGGTGAATTTGGCACCCCTTATTTGTACAAACAATATGCAGTTCTTATAATGGATTATATATTACATGTAATTGACCTCATTATTGATATTATTAATAAAATATTAAAAACTTTTCTTAATTTGAAATATCATGTGCCTTTTATATGTTTTATCAATGCAAGACTAAACTCCTCAGTTACAAAATTGGAATTCTTCCTCCAGAACTATTGCAGCTCAAACTTTTTTTGCTATTGTTTAAATGTTGACATTTGGTTTAAATGTAGATACTTTTAGTTATATTTACAACAAGCTAGTTGTTATCAGGTCAACATTTCCTTAACTGTGTGTTTGGATGAATTGTTTTCTAACTACTAGGAATTGGAGATTCATGGTTGGGAATGGAAACAGTTTTATAGCTGTTGTCAGCTTCTTATTTATGGTGGTCTAAGATTAGTCACAGAATACATAGCCAGCACTGAGTCACTGACAATGCATTTATTTTTGACAGAAAGTGAAATCAAATTTGGTTCAGTGTCTAATTGCATAGTATCTGACCTTTACATGCTTTGCAAAGATTGTTTGATTTTTTTTTTTTTAATGTAAACTTGTTCATATCTGGATACAACCAAACACGAATCATGAAGATTAAATTTATGAGGAGATTAGTAGTGTTTGCTGTCTAATCTAGCTCCACTGTCACGGTAAACTACTTATACTAGGATAGAGTACATAATGACCCACAAAGAAAAAACCTATGAACTTTCTGGTGGTTATGTTACTTTGTGTTTAGATATTTTATATACGATATGAAAGATAATATAGCAAATACACATGCATGAATGATTTAGGATTTCGTGACTGAGTAGCTATTTTTGGATTATATCCAAGAAAGGATTTATTAAGGTTGAGTGAGTTTATAGAGGTGTGGAGGGGGAGCTGCTTTAAACTGGTGCTAACGTGTTCTCTGAAGAGCTCTCTCAATTTTAAATCTGACCAAGTTCACTAGGCACAAGAGTGTAAACAAAATCAATAATTGCTAATGTGGGAAACAAAAATTAAGATATTTAATGTGCCATTTGGAGGTTCTGAAATTTGAACAAATCAAAATGTAAATTTTGTCTTTGTTCCAGCCCACTTTCACTCTCTTCTCTGAAACTTCTACACACATGCACTCAGTCAAAAATATTAAAGACAGTGATTTTAGCATTATGGCATAAGATGTAGCTTGCTGTACTTTCTTCTATTATTAATTAATATTTGTATTGTGTCAACTGGAAGTCTTCAACAGGTTGGGCCCCCATTGTGCTAGGTCCTGTTTATTCATGTAGTAAATCAGTGGAGGCCAACCTTTTTGGCAGGTGTGCCACAAATTAGCCCCACACTTCCCCATTCCGATCCCTTTCCTTTACCTGATCTGCTGCTCTGCTTTCTGCTCCCTGTGGTATGCTCTGTGATCAAATTGCTGCTCTGCTTTGTAGTTCCTGCTGTGTACTCCCTGCCTGATCGGATGCTCCGCTTTCTACTCCCTGCCTTATCTGCTGCTTTGCTACCTGTCCCTTCCCTGATCTGCCATGTGCAACACAGAGGCTGCTGGTGCCACTTGTGGCTGGCCACCCTTTAGTAAATGATGGTTTTTGCCCCAATTGCAAATTGTTTTCTTCCCTAAATACAAATTCATTCATTCATAACTTGTCTGGATTAAAAATGATAAAGCTGGAATACATCCTAGGACAGAGTTTTAGCTGAGTGCTTTCCTTAGTCTTTTTCTCACTGTTGCTAACCATATATGCATATATTAACTTACCTTCCCTAAAAATAGAGGGAGGGGACGGCTGATGGAAAAGGCTCTTACCTTCAGATCACTATCACCAGGTGACTGGCAGTTGCTCATATGCAAAGTATTTTGAATTGCTAAATGTGTGTCAGGTCTCTACTGGCTAAATCAGTATGGAGACTGACATGGTGCAACATTCCTGCTTGAACTCTTGTAAAACTCTCAGCCAGTGCAGGCATTCCTTTTTGGATTATTAACCTTATCTCTAAATTCAGACAGCGAGGGAAAAGGAAAGCAGCATAATATCTCCAGCAGTCTAGAACCCTCCTGACACCAAGGAAGCAGCGTCTATTCCATCCATAGGTCTTTTTTTTTCTCCCTTCTCTCTTCCTTGCATGACAGCTGATTTCCAAAGGGTTTTTACAGCAACTTGTCAGGACAAGGCAGAAAGTCAATGGTGATAGGCTGGAAGTTTATATTCATGAATGCCAGCAGTTCTATGGGTCCTGATGTTGTAGTTATTGCCAAAGTGCCCTGCATTGGCAAGATCAGCCAACATAGTACAGATTCTGAATGTACGAAATGAAAGAGCTTCTGTGTCCCTTGCAGATATTTTTAAAAAAGAGAAGGCTTTACCTCATAATCATCTGGTGCTATCAAACTGTTAATTTCCTCAGTGACACCAAAATTTTCCATAAATATTATAGAACAAAATTGGGACATAAGGATCTCAATCATCCCTTCTCTCTCAGATGTTCACTTCGTTCTTGTATTTCAATCTACTTAATATTTTTTCTTTTGATTCATATATTGTTGGGTATGTACAACCACAAGGCAAAGTTAAGGGTCAAATGTACCCAACATAGCAAATTTGATGCAATTTTTGATGCCAGAACTAATTTTCCATTTATTTTGTAAGGTCAATTTAAATGTCATTTTTCTTTAAAAATAAACCAGTAAAAACCAATAGGGAATTCTACAGTACAAATCAGGCTAAGAAATTTTACTTTAAAAAAGGCTTAGATCAACTTTCGTTTAACTGGATGGAAAATAGTGGTAACATATAGAGAATTTACATTAGAAACATTTTGTTTGCAAATTGAAGATATTTTAGGTTGAAGATGCATGTTCAGGACACACTATTTATAATAGATTCAATCCACTTAGTAATCTCAGGATCTCTTTAAATAATTGAATTTTGAAGGGAATTTAGCATTTTTGCAGAACTAAATCCAAAGTAAAGACAGCATCTAATGAAGCAACCTTGGGTTCATGCAGGCATATTTAGTTAGTCTATAAGATGCATCTCTGCCTGGCATCTGCCTAAATTCAAAGAGTCTTTTACAGTTCCAGAAATCCGTTTCCCCCTATATGTAATTCTTAGAGGTCTCAAATTCTTAGAGGTCTC